ACGAGGGACTTTACATCGTTGTGGAGGTACGTAGTCACCATGATTCTCCCCGTGACATACCCAATCAAAATAATTGGGTTTGAATCAAAACCGCAAAATGTGCTCCAGCATATCCTTTGATGAGCAAAACTCGATGTTCTTACATTTCTTGCAAGGACATCGCATTTTCTTGTTATCCAACCTATCTACATTAGGACTTGACTCACAGGTACTCTACAAACTCAACCACGTTGTCCACCCATTCTTGACTAACAACACCTTCTCTCTCATATTTCTTATACATCAACTCACGATTTTCGAATGGACTCATTCTAGAAACGCCTGGTAATTGAAAGGCAACAAACAACAATCATTTAACCAAGAATATCAATGATATTTATTACCAACAAACCATAACAACAATAAAGGCATCTAACAAACGAGAATCTTATTAAACCACAAACAACAATCATTTAACTATAGATATGAACATATAATGCACTCAATTTCACAAAATTGATCTAAATTTTACCTAAACTCACAATAAACGTCAAATTTACTAACACAATTTTAAATAAAATTACACCTTAAATGCCATCAATTTCACCAAAAAGTAGTGCAATTTTTACCCAATTTCATCTCATATTCACACAATTTTATGTAAATTTCACCAAAAATGTACTCAATTTCACACAAAGAAATTCAATTTCACCAAAAATTAAATTAAACAAAAATACCTTCATGGCAAAGAGGAAGAGGAGTTCCGGCGGGGGAAGAGAGACGGCTGGCGAGGGAGTACTAGCGGCGTCAACAAGGGGTGGAGACGGCTGGTGGACGGCGCCGCTGGGGAGGACGGCGTGGCTGGCGCGGCTGAATAATGACTAATGAATAATGACAAATGATCCTATATTGTGAAATAAAACTATATAATCCTATATTGAAAAATTATTATGTTTTAATCCTATCTATTTAGGTAAATTCCATGTTTGAAGAGGGTTTTTCATAGAACTAGTTTATTTTTTGGTGAATATAATGCCGAATAGTGAGAACGAAAAACTGCATGTGACGTGAGTGGTGAGTGGTCCTTCGACTCAGTGTTTTTCTTTTTTACAGAGTATAAATATAGGACCATGCTAGGGTTCCACCACATGGGTGCTACCATGGGTGCACCCATGTGGTGGCACCCTAGCATTTTCCATAAATATATCCTATTTTGTCTTCTTTACTTGCCGTCATGCCACACACTCCCACATGTTATAACCACCAAAACGACACGGCATCATTAGTCATCCTCCCACTTCTAGGTATAATACTACCTCCGTCCCATTGTCTTTGTCCACTTTTGACTTTTGGAACTGTTCATCTAAGCACTTTGACTTATCAAATTCTTTCAATGTGTAAGCCTAAAAATAGTCATGTGTGATCTTGTTTGATTCGTCTTAACATATATATTATTAATATATAATTTTTATAATTTTTTAATATACAAATTACAAGATAAAATGGATTAAAAAAGTGCATTAGATGGTGTGCCAAAAGGTAAGTGGACAAAGACAGTGGGACGGATGGAGTAGTTGCCAGCTTGGTTGTTTGACTTCCAAATTCAGAAAATTACCATCTCAGGTGAATCTTGGCAAATTCTTCCGTGGCTTTAACATTACACTCATTTTTTGACCTTTAGTAAATACTCCCTCCGTCCTATAATGATCTTCCCAGAGTATTGTTCTAACTTAACGGGAATTTATATTTATTTGTGTTTTTCATAGCCTGTATGATAAAATAAAATATTCTTGTCACCACTTGTTTTGTTGAACTTTTGGTGTAGTTTTTAAATATGTATGTTTTATTTTTTATTTCTATACCAATATTTAAATAAAATAGATTGAAAAAACTTGGGATTTTTCTTCGTTTTGCGAACCGGGAAGATCATTATATGACGGAGGGAGTAAATACCATGGATAAATTAGTCTCTTTGAGAAAAATAAAAGATCTTCATGTCGGTCTACGAAAGTATAAGAAAGTTCATATTTTACCTGTAGACTTTGGGATCATAGAAACACAACTCGTCTATTTCAATGTATTTGGTCCGGTTTGATTTTCAAGTCAAAATAGATAAATTTTAAATTTCAATTACCTTCAATTTTTATTACGAATTAGTACAAAAAAATTAAATTTTAAAAGATCTTAACAAGATTAATTTAATAAAATAATTTTTATACTAATATACATTACAAATTTTGAATAATTGAAACTGAAAAGTTCATACAGAGTACTACTCTGTATTTTACTTCAAAAAGTCAAACGGGATAAATTGAGTGAGGCAAAGCAATGTTTAAGACTCCGTTTTTTTAAGAAAAGAAAAGCCAGAGAAGAGGTGGCAAATTTCAACGAGAGGAAAAATGAAAAGGAGGAAAGGAAAGGATTTGATGTCTCCGTTTATTATGAATCTAACTAAAATAAGCCCTGCGATGAGCGCGCTGTGGCACTTTGTTAGTTTTTTTTGTCTATGGCGTGCAAGTCAATGCTTTATTACCTGTCTGCTCGATCTCTACAAACAGTAGAATCCTAAGCTGTGACTTTTGCTTTTGTCAATTGTCATTTGTAGCAAAAAAAAACTCGTTGACCGAGTTGAGGAAGACCAAATAGATTGATTTATTTTCTCATGGGATACTCCCCCGTCCCACTGTGTTTGTCCACTTACCTTTTGACACACCATTCAATGCATTTTTTTAATCCATTTTATCTTGTAATTTGTATATTAAAAAATTATAAAAATTATATATTAATAATCTATATGTTAAGACGAATCAAACAAGATCACACATGACTATTTTTAGGCTTACACATTAAGAGAATTTGATGAGTCAAAGTGCTTAGATAAATACTTCCAAAAGTTAAATGTGGACAAAGACAATGGGACGGAGGTAGTATAAGGGTAGTATATAGAGCTTGCAAACCAAAATCAGAATCGATTACCAGAATCAATAATATCTGAAATCAAAGTTGGACGGGTGGAATAAATGTGTGAAGTATTGGTGTGGAGTGGGAAATAGCGCCAAAGTCTTCTTCTAAATTCTTGATCCAAGGGAAAAAAACTATGTGAGTAAAACATTGAAAATATATCAAAATAGGACTTTCATGTTTTTATTTTTGAAATAGGAGTTAAAATGTATTTACATTACCAAACATGGTCATGTACATTACCAAAAAATATAGCAATGTGTACATGTACAGTGCCACATTACAACCACATTACGACACTGTGAAATCTTATTTCGAGAATAAAAACATGTAACTCCTATTTTAGTCCTATTTAGGGTGATTTCTGTTGATCCAAATTGTTGATCTATTTTAATCGTTTAATTATCGAGGTGAGTCCTGGTACATATATCTTTCGTTAGGATTAATTTGTGGATTGGTATTCGGTAATATATTCTCGTTCAATTGACGTTGAATTCGTGATTTTGATTATTGAATTGTTAGATTAATTGTATTAATTGAATATATTCATGTTATAAACTTATTGGTGATAAATTGCGAATAATGATTTTTGGTCGAGGAATAAGTAACCTAGTAGTACTAGGAGAATCTAAATTGAATTGATGAGAATATTAGAATCACCATTAAGTGAAAATATAGGATTTAGCCTTGGAGGGTGAGCTTTGCATAACTCACAGGTCTAATTGAGTTAAAAATGTACGTGCGGGAGCCTGAGACCTGTCTGGCAGGTAGTGCTTGTTGAAACACGGGCATGTCACGTTTTCGTACTAAAGCCGTGTTTGTTTTTTATGACAGGTTTTGATAATGCCAAACCGTCGTGATCAAGTCAAACTTTGAATATACAAGGCGAAGAAGGAAGACAAGAAGAAGAGCTAAAAGAAGACCAAGAACGAAGATCTTAGTCTTAGTGTCGTTGAGTCGGTCTTCATTGTGATCAAGACCGACCCAATCTTTACACCTTGGCTCTTTAGGCTAAAAACCTTCATTGCACTTCTTAAATCATAAAAATGCTTTTCAAACATGTTTAAGTCATTAAAAACACTTGGTGTTCGCCCAAACCAAAAACCAAGCCATCCGGCGTTCGGGTTTCAGAAACTGGCGTTCGGCTCTCGGTTATCGGCTATGGTTTTTGGCGTCCGAACCAACCAATTGGTTTTCAACTTTTTATGATTGGTTTTTACTCTTTGGCATGTTTAAACGGTTCTCCAACAAAAACACCTTGAAAACCATCTTTCGCTTTTGGTCGTTTGACAAAAATCATTCAAAACGGCATAAAACTTGGTTAGCCGTGGTTTTCACTTAAATGACGTGGTTTTTAAAGTGTCTTACTCGATTTATTAGCCAAATACATCAAATAAGTGTTTTAAACACTTGGTTTTTATTTTGGAGAACTTTGAATTTTTC